CTAATCATCATTGTTTATTATATTATTATTTTAACTATTATTTACTCTATCAATATTTATCATTTGCGTCACTATCATTTAAATCATTGTTACTGTTGTTAAATTACTTTATCAATTTTTTATCCTTTGCTGACAAATTTTACTACAGCTTTTATTTTTCTACATGGGGAAAACTATTTGACACTTAGTAATAACCAAAGTGCCTGTATCTATCTTATACAAAAAAATCAACTAGTAATAACAGCTTTTTTTAGAAAGATATCTATAGAAAGTTAGTAAATAAAAATAATAAAAATGAAGCTAAGTAGTAGCATTGACTATGTATTTAATATGTAATAGGATCAGGAAACACGTAGTTAGTAACCCAAAAGATATTTATTGTAAACTAAATATTAGGAATCTGATATAATAGGATAAATTTTTAAAAGAGTTATAAATCTTAGTTTATAACTTTATAATAAAAAATATTTATATAGATACAATCTTAATTTATTATATTCACATTTCTATATTTTCTATATAGTATATGAAATTAAGTAGATAGTAAACCAATAGTAGTTGTCAGTAAGTAGTAGTAGTTATAATAATATTATTAATATATAGATTGTACATTATAATTGTATATATGATAGTATTAGTATATATATATGTATATATTTATTATAATGTATATTATTATATATATATTAATATAACATTAATATGTAAATATAGTTATAAGTAGAGTTTGGACTAGATATATTTAATATATATTATATATATGATATTATATATATATAAAAAGTTTATATATATATATATAGTAATGTATGCTTGTTATATTGTATATTATATATACTATATGATATTATATATATATATGTAATTATAATATATAGTATAAATTGGCATATAATTTATGTTATATAATATGATGTTAGTATATTATAATGTATTTATATATTATATATGTTATTTATATATATATGTATATCTAATATATATACTGTATATTATATATATATGTATATATATAATATATATATATCATGTATTATTATACTAGTATAATAGCAAGTATTTATTTATGTATTATATATTATTTAATTATATGATGATATATAAGATGTATTAGTTATATATATATATGATATATTATATATTATATATTCATATATTAATATAAAATACATTATATATTATATATATATACATATATATATACATATTTATAATATACAAGTTATATAATAATATACATAAGTATATATGTATTGTAATAGTTATGTTTATTAATATTACAAATATATATATACTGTATATTAAAAGTTATATATAAATTAATATATATATGAGTATTTTTTAATATATATAGCTTGTATATGTTTATACTTAATATTATAAGTATATTTTGTATATATATGTTATTTATATACTACATTATATTATATATTCTATGATATTCTTGCATAATAAAAGATTTGTGCTCTCAGCTCTATACATAGAGACGTCCTTGCAAGTGCAGCGAAATAAGAGGCGTTTCATAATCGCTTATTGATTCTGCCTAACATTATCCTCCATCTTGCCACGATCTTTATCACCAGCCAACAATTAACCCGGGCCCGATGTTAAAAGAGATTATTATTTACATATAGCAGAAAATACGCGCTCTATTCAGTGCGCCGGACCTCCACGGCAATTAAACTCATTTTATCCGCCGTGCTTCACCGCGGGCCGGCAGCGTTCGAAGACGGCGAGAGGCAGTGCGCGCCATTGTCACCGGGGGCGGGGCGCGGGGGAGGGCGCACTTCGGCCGCCTTCCTACGCGTCCTTGGCTCATTATGTAGAGCGCTCGGGATTGTGCAGGAGAAGGAGTCGTGGAAACCCGACACTCTTTTTTGTTGTTTCTGTACGTAAATGTAATATTTTGTTGTTTTTATGCGTGTATTTTTTGGATTTATGTCAATATATATTTTGTTCGCAAACTGTTTTTGTACGTTCTATTTTTTTGTTTTTTTGTTTTTTCTTCCGTATGTAAAGAGACTTTTTGGCGTCTTCGTGTTCAAATAAGCAAATAAACGCTTTATTTGGTTTGGGGAACATAAATATGCTGTTTTTTTATATATGTGGTCGGTTTTGTACGAGATGTGTTTGTGCGTGTTGGTTCAAAAAGGTGATTTTATCCATATATATGTTTTTCCCATCTTTTGGATTTTTCGCATTGAGTCTTATCCCGTGAAGAGCAAGGTAGCCGAAGATTTTTTCAGCAGTGGATGCGTCGGGTGGCTGTTGAGGTAGGGCGCGCTCTGCGTTCGGGCGGGATGAAGGTGAATAGCAGCGCTGGCATTCATTTTATCCTTCTCCTCCTCTCTCCTTCCATCCTCCTTCATCCAAGCTCTCCCGGCACTCTTTTCAGTCTTTCCTCCATCTTTCCCTCTCATTACCCCACTGCTTTATTCTTATTCTTTTGCTGTACCCTCTTTGCAGTCCGCATTCTCATCTCCCTTTCTCTTTCTTTTTCTACTTTGTGTTTCCTTCCTCCTCCTCCCTTCCCCATATTTTCCCCTCTTTTCCTCCTCTTTCCCCTTCCCCCACTTAACCCTCCTCCCTCTTTTTAACCCTCCTCCCTCCTCTTCGCTCCCCTTCCCCATTCTCCTCTTCTCTTTCCCTCCTCCCTCTTCCTCTTCATCCTCCTCTTCCTCCCTCCCCATGTTTGGATAATGACCCGGGCTTTACATCCTCGCAGCAGATTTTTCAGCGACATAATTAGAGGAACAGAAGCAAGAGCCCGGAGCTGCTTTCTGTACCTAGAGTGCAGAATGCAAAGATTTTTATATTTACTCGCGTGGAATTTTCTCTCTTTTTCGCTTATTGAATAATGCGCGCGCATGGGCACATACGTACACGCGTAAACACATATGTACACACATACATGCTGAAACCCACCCATCCACCTACTCATTCACTCACCCGCTCAGATACACACATACTCTCTCTCTCTCTCTCTCTCTCTCTCTCTCTCTCTCTCTCTCTCTCTCTCTCTCTCTCTCTCTCTCTCTCTCTCTCTCTCTCTCACTCATCTCACACACACACACACACACACACTCTCACTCACTGCACTCACACTCACTCACACACACACACACACACACACACACACACACACACACACACACACACACACACACACACACACAATGAAACTACCACAATAAGGGAAACAATAAACCAGTTTATTTTTCCCTTATTATTGTCTGTGTTTCATAGTATCCTTGTGCACACAATACATACATATATATATATATATATATATATATATATATATATATATATATATATATATATATATAATATATATATATATATATATATATATATATTTATATAATATATATATATATATATATATATATATATATATATTATATATATTTATATATATATATATATTATATATATATATATATATATATATATATATATATATATATAAATATAATAATATATATATAATATATATATATATATATATAGTATATATATATATATATATAATATATAATATAAATATATATATATATAATATATATATATAATATAATATTTATATATATATATATATATATATATATATATATATATATATAATATATATATATATTATATATATATTACATATTATTATCACATTTTATATAAATATACATATTATATATATATATATTATATATATAATATATATATATAATATATATATATATATATATATATAAATATTACATGTACATATTATATATGTATGTATATCATACATGTATATGTACATGTACATGTACATATATATATATATATATATATATATATATTATATATATTAATATTATAATATAATAATATACATACATATACATATACACATACACACATACACATACACATACACACATATATACACACAACACACACACACACACACACACACACAACACACACACACACACACACACACACACACACACACACACATATATATATATGTATATTATTTAACACATAACACATTATATATATATTTATATTATTTACACACACACACACATACAATTGCATATACAGACGAGAAAGGAGAGCGATAAGTACTTGGTTCGCATGAGCTCGTGTGTGCCGCGTGGCAGAGAACGAAGGAGTGGAGGGAGCGAAAAGAAAAGGAAAAGGTGAGGCCGGTGCCAGGGGTCAGATTGGAAGCCAAAGGTCGTTCATTTGTGCCAAAGTGATAAAAGACATAAGAGGCCACTCGCTCGGTGTGATATGGCTTATCGTGTTAGCTGTTGATTGATATTGTCTGAAAAAGCTGTTATTGCGTGCTTCTGCAGTCGAAATGTCGTTTTAGGAACACATTATCTCTTTCTCTCTCCCTTACCTCATCCTCTCTTTCCTACCTCTCCTTCTCTGCCCTCTTCCCTTTCTTTCCCTTTGACTTCCCTCTAGTTCTCCCCTTTCTCTCCCACTGCCTTTCCATTTCTCTCCTTTCCTTCCTTTGTTCAAATACTCTCTCTCCATTTTCCTCCCCTCTAACTTTCCCTTTTCTCGTCCAATTCCTTTGCATTTATCTCCTTTCTCCTTCCTATGTTTAAATGATCTCTCCCCTTTCCTCTTTTCATCTTTCCCCTGCATTCCCCATTCTTCCCTCTCTTCCCACTCCTCTCTCCCTTCTCCCTCTTTCCCCATTTCTTTCTCCCTTCTCTTTTTCTCCATTTCTATCTCCTTCTCCCATCTTCCCATCTCTTTCTCCCTTTCCCATTCCTCTCTTCTTCCCTTCTTTCCCATTCCTCTCTCCTCTCCTCTCTCCCTCTTCTCCTCCTTCTCCTTCTTCCATTCCTCTCCCTTCTTTCCACTCCTCTCCCCTTCCCCTCTCTTCCCTATTCCTCTCTTCGCTCTCCCTCTCCACTCCGTGAATTGGGGAACCTTACTTGTTATTAGTTGTATGCATATGAGCCGGCCTTGCAGAGCGCTATTGGCATATGAAGCTGACTTGTTACAGGTTAACCGTAGAGGCCCGGCGAGGAGTGCGGAGCGCCGTTGCCTTAAATGGTAATTGAGTGGCGCTTGTGTCGGCACTGTTCGGTCGGGTCAGTCATCGTGTGGGGGGGGGGTGATGGTCGTGGCGCTGGACGGAAGGGAGAATGCGGAGGGAGGTGATGGTGGGATGGGTGGCTGCGGTTAGATGAGGGCGTGCTGGAGGAAGGGGCTGGTGCGGTAGAGTGGGCTGCGAAGGAGGGCGAGGGGGTAGGGGGTGGGGGTTTACACGACAGATGCTCTACCGGAGCTAATACAGGCTCACTCGGGATAAACACCCAGGGACAAACAAACGTGCAAAGACACTCGAGGGCCTAGCCAGGGCTCGAGTCAGACACAGGAGGGGAACTAGAGCAGGAACAGGAGCAAAAGCAGGAGCAGGAACACAAACAGGAGCAGGAACACAAACAGGAGCAGGAATATAAACAGGAGCGGAGCAGAAACAACAGGAGCGGAGCAGGAAACAGAGGGAGCAGGGAGCAGGAGAAATACAGACAGGACAGGAGCAGGAACCAAACAGGAGCAGGAGCAGAATACAGACAGGAACAGAGCAGGAACAAAACAGAGCGGGAGCAGGAACAACAACGGGAGCGGACAAGCGAGCAGGAACACAAACAGGAGCGGAGCAGGACACAAACAGGAGCGGGAGCAGGAACACAAACAGGAGCAGGGAAGCAGGAACACAAACAGGAGCGGGAGCAGGAAACACAAACAGGAGCGGAGCAGGAATCAGGAACACAAACAGGAGCAGGAGCAGGCAGACAGAACAGGAGGAACACAAACAGGAGCAGAGGAATACAGAGCAGGAACACAGAGCGGGAGCAGGAACACAAACAGACGGCGCAGGCAGGAGCGGAACACAAACAGGAGCGGAGCAGGAACACAACAGGAGCGGAGGCAGGAACACAAACAGGAGCGGGAGCAGAACAGGAGCGGAGCAGGAACACAAAAGGAGCGGGGAGCAGGAACACAAACAGGAGCGGGAGCAGGAACACAAACAGGAGCGGAGCAGGAACACAAACAGGAGCGGGAGCAGGAACACAACGGACAGGAGCAACAGGAGCGGGAGCAGGAACACAAACAGGAGCGGGAGCAGGAACGCAACAGGAGCGGGAGCCGGAACACAAAAGAGCAGCCGGGAGCAGGCAAACAGGAGCGGGAGCAGGAACACAAACAGGAGCGGGAGCAGGAACACAACAGGAGCGGGAGCCGAACACAAACAGAGCGGAGCAGGAACACAACAGGAGCGGGAGCAGGAACACAAACAGAGGAGCGGGACACAAACAGGAGCGGGAGCAGGAACAAAACAGGAGGCGGAGCAGGAACAGGCAAACAGGAGCAAAGGAAAACAGGAGCGGGAGCAGGACACAAACAGGAGCGGGAAAGGAACACAAACAGGAGCGCGCAGGAACAGGGAAAACACGGGAGCAGGAGGAGCGGGAGCAGGAACACAAACAGCGGAGCAGGAAGCAACGGAGCGGGAGCAGAACAAACAGGAGCGGGAGCAGGGCAAACAGGAGCGGGAGCAGGAACACAAACGGAGCGCGGAGCAGGAACACAAACAGGAGCGGAGCAGGAACACAAACAGGAGCGGAGCAGCAGAACACAAACAGGAGCGGAGCAGGAACACAAACAGAGCGGGAGCAGGAACACAAACAGGAGGGGAGCAGGAACACAAACAGGAGCGGGAGCAGGACACAACAGGAGCGGGACGCAACAGAGCGGAGCCGACACAAACAGGAGCGGGAGCAGGAACGCAAACAGGAGCGGGAGCAGGAACACAAACAAGGAGCGGGAGCAGGGAACACAAACAGGAGCGGGAGCAGGAAACACAACAGGAGCGGGAGCAGGAACACAAACAGGAGCGGGAGCAGGAACACAAACGGAGCGGAGCAGGACACAAACAGGAGCGGGAGCAGGAACACAAACAGGAGCGGGAGCAGGAACGCAAACAGGAGCGGAGCAGAGGAAGCAGCAGGAGCGGGAGCAGGAACACAACAGGAGGGGACGAAACAGGAGCGGGAGCCGGAACGCAAACAGGAGCGGAGCAGGAACACAAACAGGAGCGGGCAGGAACGCAAACAGAGCGGACAGGACACAAACAGGAGCGGGCAGGCAGGAGGAAGCAGGACAAACAGGAGCGGAGCAGGAACACAAACAGAGCGGAAGAGCGGGAGCAGGAACGGGAGCGGGAGCAGGAACAACAAACAGGAGCGGGAGCAGGAACACACAAACAGGAGCGGGAGCAGGCAAACAGGAGCAGCAGGAACGCAAACAGGAAGCGGGAGCAGGAACACAAACAGGAGCGGGGAGCGGACGCAAAGGAAGCGGGAGCTAGGACACAAACAGGAGCAGGGAGCAGGGAACAGGCAAACAGAGCGGGAGCAGGAAAAACAAACAGGAGCGGAAGCAGGAACAAACAGGATCGGGAGCAAGGCAGGAAGCAGGAACACAAACAGGAGCGGGAGCAAAGAACAAACAGGAGCAGGAATACAAACAGGAGCGGGGAAGCGGAAAAACAGGAGCAGCAAGGAACACAAACAGGAGGCAGGGACACAAACAGGAGCGGAGCAAGGAACACAAACAGGAGCGGAAGCAGGAACACAAACAGGAGCGAAGCAGGAACCCAAACAGAGCAGGTGCGAACTCGTTGGCGAGCGGCGGGGAAGCGCCGTCCGGACGTGATGAAATGGAACAGAAACATCACCTCCGCCTCCGCCGGTGTTGTCGGCTCACGGAGAGATTGGATTATCCCAGGGCACTCCGACGCTCGGCGCTTGATGCTGAGAGGCTGCCAGGGTGTTAGTCACTCTTTTGCATCACCTTGCTACTCCCCCTTCTCCCCTTCCTTCCTCCTATTCCGCCTACTAGTACTGCTGCTGCTACTGTTACTCCTACTCCTACTCCCCCCCCCCTCTTCCTCCTTTTCCTCCTCTCCTCCTCCACCTCCTTGTTCGCCTCTTCTTCTCCTCCTCCTCTTCGTCGTCGTCGTCGTCCTCCTTCTCTTCCTGCTCCTCCTACTCCTCGTTCCCCTCTTATTATTTTGGTCCTATTTCCATTTGCATCTCCTTTATCTTTGCTTTGATAGTTTTGTATTTTGCATTTTCTACGTTTTAAACTATTAGCCTGCTGACGATAGTTGTCAGTGTGTTTGATCACAGTCCATTTTCATTATCAATATCCGTGGCCAGTATTTTAGGCTGTTCGTTGTCGTCACTATCTTTACTACTGTCACCACTATGCCCACTATGTTTCAATGTGATTATTGTTATTTTTTGATATTGAGGTCATTGTAATATTGTCAGCAGAAAATTATGATTAGTATTATCACCACATGTAGTATTATCGTAATATCGGTACATTACATTATGGATGGCAACCCTCGCTCCCAGCCATCCTTCTTATGAGCACGTAAGTTGGCAGTGCGAGACCACACTTCCGGCCAGCGTCGGTGCGCGATGATCCTGCGAAATTGAGGCTCACGTGTGAGACGGCCAGAGAGGACTCGAAGTAGCAAAACTGCAGTATTGTAGTTTTGCTCCTTCTCCTGCCACTTCCCGCTACCCTGCTACGTCTCGTTACCCTGCTACTTCCCGCTGCCCTGCCACTTCCCGCTACCCTGCCACTTCCCGCTACCCCTACCACTTCTCCAGCCCCTGCACCTTCCCCTCTACATGGGTGGGTAGCAGAGGAGAGTTAGTGTGGTTGGCGTGTTCCCCGGTTTTCCTTCTGTGTGTACCACGTCCACCACCAAGACCTTTCCCCTCCTCCCACTCTCTTCTCCCCATTTCTTCTATTTCACTTTCCTTTCCCCCTTCTTGCCCACCACCTCTTTCTCCATTTCCTTCCCTCTCATCGCTGCCCTTCACCCTCCTGTCCAAGCTTCCACATTCTCCTCCTCCTCCTCCTCCTCCTTGCTGCCCCACCCCCCTCTCCCTTTCCATTCCTTGTTTGTCTTTCTCCTCTCTTCAGCCCTTTACCTGTACCCTCTAGCGAGCTTTTTTCTGCCCCGTAAAAATCCCTCCTCCATCGTTCCCCGCTTCTTCTGCCCAGGTCCTCCCCCCCCTTTTTCCGTACTCCTCTGCTGTTTGCTCCATCCTTACCCCTCCTCACCCCATTCTTGTTTGTCCCATTCCTACCCCCTCCTTTCCTCATTCCTGTCTTCCCCATTCCTACCCCATGTTTTTGTTTAATCCCCCTCTCCTGTCCCATCCCAATCTCCCCCAAATCAATACCCCTCCCCACCTGCTTCATCTACCCCACCTGGTACCCGCTGGTACCCCGCCCCATCCCTACCCCCACCTGGTACCCGCCCATCCTTACTCCCCTGTACCCCGCCCCATCCCTACCCACCTGGTACCCCACCCATCCCTACCCCACCTGGTACCCCGCCCCATCCTACCCCACCTAGTACCCTTCCTTCCCTACCTCCACCCTGGTACCCGCCCCTTCCTACCCCACACCCCACCAAGCACACCCCCATCACTACCCCCTACCTCGTACCCCACTCCTCATAATCCTCCTGTTTTTCGCCCCATCCTACCCACTCCTCGAACCCCGCCTCATCCTACCCCCTTTCCCTACCCCGCCATCCCTACCCTACATCCCACCTAGTACCCCATCCCATCCCTACCCCCTACCTCGTATCCCACCCCATCCCTACCCCCCTAGTATACCCCACCGTCCCACCTACCCCTACCTCGTACCCCACCCCATCCTACCCCTACCCCACCCCATCCATACCCCCACCTAGCACCCCCCCCTACCCCTACCTCGTACCCACCCCATCCATACCCCCCCTCCTGTTTACCTCGCCCCATCCTTACCCCACTCCTCGTACCCCCGCCCCATCCCCCCCCCCCTCTCGTACCCCGCCTCGCTCCTCCGCCCGCCCGACTCGGCCCTCAGGAGCCCATCGTCCCACGCCTTCCTCCGGTGTATCTGGTTTGATTTGAAATTCTGATGTCACCTCGCAGGTGTAAGGCAAGTTTGGGCATTAGATTGGAAAGCGAGAATCGAATTCCATGACGCGTGCTGCCTGTTTCTCTCTAGCCTTTTGTTTTGTTTTGTTTTGTTTCTCTCTTCCTTCTGCTCTTCTTCGCGCCCTTCCTTCCCCACTTTTGCCCCGTCTCTTCCGTCTTCCTCTCCTCTCTTCCCTCTCTTCTCCCTTACCCCACTTTTCCACTCTCTCCTCGAAACTTCTCCTCTCCTCTCTTCTCTCTCTTCCTCTCTTCTCTCCTCTTCTCTTCCTCTTCTCTCCTCTCTTCTCTCCTCTTCTCTCTTTCTCTCTCTCTCCTCTCTCTCTCTCCTTCCTCTCCTCTTCTCTCCCCTCTCCCTCCCTCTTCCTCCCCTCTCCCTCTCCCCTCCCTTCTCCCTCCTCTTATCTTTCTTTCTTCTTTTTCTTTCTCTTTCCCTTTCTCCCCCCCTCCCTCTCTTTCTCTCTCTTCTCCCTTCCCGCTGCCTGTCATCCCCCGTCTCTCTCTCTCTCTTCTCTCTCTCTCTCTCTCTCTCTCTCTCTCTCTCTCTCTCTCTCTCTCTCTCTCTCTCTCTCTCTCTCTCTCTCTCTCTCTCTCTCTCTCTCACTCATCACTTCCTCTATCATTTTCTTTTTACTTTTTCGCTTTTATGCCCTTACCTGTTTTCTCTTCCCAGGTGAAGGAACAATAACAAAAATACGGGGATAAAAATTGTCGATGGAATGGATACAGGAAAGCAGTATGGAGAGGAGAAAAAATAAAAAAAAATACGAACGGGCGCTTTCAAAAATCAGAGAAGGGAGGGAGAGTTTTGTATTTGTAAAAGGGAGATAAAGAGAACGAGGGAGGGAGGGGGAGGAAAGGAGGGAGTGAGAAAGAAGAGAGAGAAGGAAAGAGATAATTTGTTCAAGCGATGTTTGATGCCTCGTCATGGTTGCGGCTTTACGAGTCACCAGCTTCAGCCGCTGTATTTTCCTCTTGCTTCTTCTCCTTCCTCTTGCTCTTTACAATTAGCTTCACCGTCTCTCTCCTTCACCTATTCTCGTTTATGCTCGTCTATTCACGTCCTCCTTTGCTCTTGGTTTTATTTCCTTTGCATCCTCTTCCGTCCTCCTCCTCCTCTTCTCTCTCCTCTTCCTTCCTCCTCATTCTCTTCTTTCTCCTCTCCTCCTTTCTTCTTTATCTTCTCCCCTCCTCTTCCTCCTCTTCCTCGACCTCTCCTTCCTACCCTTCTTCGCCCCCGCTCCTCGTCGCACTTGCACAAACGGCGTGAGGCGCCACAACCTTGACGGTATGTTGCGCATGGCAGTCACGTTCAGCGAAGTATGAAGATGAGTCACACACGCACACAGGCGCTCACACACGTGATAACAACAGATAACTGATTTTTTTTCTTTACACGAAAGTGTGCTAGTTTTTTGTATGCAGAAGTATTGTCCGCGTTGTCCACGGCCGCTTTGGTATTGTGTGCATTTTCGCATTTAAAATCTGAACGACATTACCCGGTAATGTTTGGCAACAACGGAAGATTCGCGCATTTAATGGACGGGGCGCGCGCGCACACACACACACACACACACAACACACACACACACACACACACACACACACACACACACACACACACACACACACACACACACACACAAACTTTATTTATTTATGTTTTTACATTTTCTTTATTGATATTTGTGTTATAAACCATTTGTTTCCTATATATTGTTTGAATCTGATTCTTGACTCTGATTCATGCCTTCCTTTTCCTCTTTATCTTTTTTTGTTGTTTTTCCTCTCTCTCTCTCTCTCTCTCTCTCTCTCTCTCTCTCTCTCTCTCTCTCTCTCTCTCTCTCTCTTCTCTCTCTCTCTCTCTCTCTCTCCTCTCCTCCCTTCCTCCCTTCTCCCTCCTCCCTTCTCCCTCTCTCTCTCTCTCTCTCTCTCCTCTCTCTCTCTTCTCTCTCTCTCTCTCTCTCTCTCTCTCTCTCTCTCTCTCTCCCCTCCCCCCTTCTCTCTTCTCCTTCTCCTCCTCTCCTTCCCTGATCTGTCACCTATCCATGCTCGTCCAACGGGCCGGCGCACGTTTGGCAAAGGAGGGTCGGACCCCCAAGGGAAGCCGAGGATAATGCACTAAATCCAGAAGCAAATTGTAGGCGTTGGTGATGATGACGGTGCCGGGGTGGTGGTGGGGTGCGTTGGCGTTGGCGGTGGCGGTGGCGTTGGCGTTGGCGTGGCGTTGGCGGTCAAGAGTCCTTTCGGAGCGAGCGCGGACGGTCAGTTCGGGAACCGGTCAAAGGGAAAATGCTGGGCGATTGGCGGTTTTCGCACCAAGAGCTTACGTATGCCCCGCGCCTTTCAAACTGTTTTTCGCATTTGTGTGGGAAGGATTCGCACGTTTAAGTTGTCTGTCTGTGCAGCGTTTTTATGATTTCGTGGCATTATTTTGTGTTTAGTGTAGCCTAAGGGCAATGCATATGATGGGAATTATCAGCAAATGATTCGAGATTGGCTTATGTTTTGATTGATTTGAGGAAATCATCGTCATCTGCAGTTGAATCTTCAATCTCCCAGTTGATATATCACTCTCTGTTATATGAAAAATTACGAGTTTTTTTTTTATAATTTATCCGTAAAACTAATTTGAATGTTCTACTTAAGATGCCGTTTCGTTTCATTCTTATGCAGTATTATTGCCAATGGAACGGGAAAGGAAAA